AAGGGAAAACAAAATCCAGGAGCCTTTTGAAAAAGCACTCTCGTCAGAATGTGTACATTTGCGGCAGCATATGAAGATCCAGAGGAGACCGTGGAAAAGGAGGACAGCTCTTCTTAGATAAGGAGTCTGAAGAGATTCTCAGGCTGTCTCAAAGGTGCTTCTTTTAAGCTATACAATTTGGGATGAACCCCATTGGAATGGGGTGGGAATAAGGAATGGATTTCCAGAGGAAAAGAAATTGCATACGGGAACCATTTGTACCACTCAGGTGACCCTGAGGACACAGATAAACCTCCAAGTGGCCTCAAGGACTCTGTAGGATGCAAATGACCAGCTGTCTGCAAGGAGTATCAATCCTTCCATTTCCCCACCATCCTGCTTCAGAGTTAAAGAAGCTTCTTGGATGAGAAGTGAAATGTCTTCAAAAGAAAAAAAAACCAAGAAAGTCCAGTTGCCTCCTGAAAAAAAAAGCACCTTTGGGACAACAATGATCTGGATGACTGAGAATCTCTGCAGACTTTGAGCTATATAATTTGGGATGGACCCCCTTGGAATGGTGTGGGAGTAGGAAGGGATTCCCAGAGGGGAAAAATGCAGACTACAGGAACCAGAAACACCACTCAGGTGACCCTGAGGACACAAATAAACCTCCAAGTGGCCTCAATGACCCTCTAAAAGGATGCAAATAACCAGCTGTCTGCAAGGAGGATAAATCCTTCCATCCTCCACCTTTTGGTCAGAACTGAAGAAACTTCTTGGACCAGAAGGGAAAGTCCAGTTGCCTCCTGAAAAAAAGCACCTTTGGGACAGGCTCTTCTTAGATGTCACTCTTGATGTCTCTTACAGGCCTAGCCATGGAAGGCTGGTGTGTTTCCTCAGTCAAGAAGTATTTTGAAGTCCAGGGAAGTTACCTAATCTGCCTGCCTGCCTGCCTGCCTGCCTGTCTCTTTTATAAACACATATTTCAGTCCCTCCCCATCATATTTCTTTGGGAGGGAAGTTAAGGAGTGAAATTTTCACCAATGAAGTTGGGAGATTGGGGCGGCTAACCCATCTTCAAAGAATCTGGTACATTTGCCGCACTTTGCTTCACATGAAAGGCTTGGCAAGCTCTCAAGTATGGCCGAGCATGCCAATTAGGTGGCGTGCATGAGTGGAGTTTCAGGCACCGAAGGGGGGAGGGAGGGAAAGGAGGATGGGCGTTGGGCTGCTGCGCATTGGTGGTCATGAAGTAACCCGAGCCTCCAGACAAAGGAAGGGAGGCCATTCTTAGACGAACACCCTCCCGGGGAGGATTAAGTCCTGATTGACAAAACCTCTGCTTCAAATCCTCAAGGAAGCCTGAGAGCATTTAGCGTTGGTTCCACAGCAAAGAACTCTGCAGGACTATGCAGATAGGGCTTGGCTCTTTTAAATTCACGAGCATCGTTTTGGCCATGCAACCTCGTCCTGCAACGTCTCCGCCGGTGAAGGCATCTTTTTGTCAGTGGCTTCCTAAGAAGTTCATGCCGTTGTATGTTTATTCAAAGACCCATCTTAATAGTAATTGCTGCTTTCCAAAGCCTCAGCTCCAAGCAGATTTCAGAAAAACACAACTTCTTTTATCCTTACAAGTAAGCCAAGAGGCAGGACAGGCTAAAGATCATCTCAAGGGCTTTGTGAATGGATGGATGGATGGATCAATCAATCAATCAATCAATCAATCAATCAGAATAGAACTGGGAGGGACCTTGGAGGTCTTTTAATTCAACCCCCTCCTCAAGCAAGAGACCCTATATAATTTCTTCTTAAAAGCCCCCAGTGATGAAGCCCCCACAACTTCTAGTGGCAACCTGTTCCACTGATTAATTGTTCTCACTGTTAGGAAGTTTATCCTTCGTTCCAGGTTGCTTCCCTCCTTGGTTAGTTTCCATCCATGGCTTCTTGCCCTGCCCTCTGGTGCTTTGAAGAATGAGTTGACACCCTCTTCTTCTTTGTGGCAGCCCCTGAGATATTGGAGATACTACTATCATTTTCATCCATAGTCCTTAAATCCTGCAATTGTTCTTCATATGTTTTGGTCTCCAGGCCTTTAATCATCTTAGTTGCTCTTCTCTGCACTTTTTCTAAAACCTCAACATCTTTTTTTGTAATGGTGAGCAAAGCTGGATCCAGTATTGTTTGGGGATTGTGATTGGTGAGATCGGAAGCCAGATTTTGTATCCCAAGCTCTTCGGGCTTTTTCTACAACATGGTTTCTTACACCCATCCAAAATCTTGATTTGGTCTTATGTTGCCGTTTTGATCACTCAACTTTAAATGGGTTCAATTCCTGGATGTCAGAAGGATTGGCTACGGATAAACGTGGAATGAAATAAATAGCTGTTTACAAGATAGGGAATATGGCTTTAATATTCATGTATTGTACATGAATAATCTCATATAGGATCTATATGGGAACAAATCCCAAACTGAGATCTGGAATGTCTGTAAAAGGGGTCTTAGAGACATAACAGTGGCTAAGAGGAAATTCTCAGTGCGGTTGAGAATGTGAATTTTCCCAAAAGCAGAGGGAACTTGTGCGTGGCCACATGTGTGTATTTTTCACAAATGTGAAATGTGTTACTTTTGGCAGTTGGACTAAGAACCATCTGAGTCCTCAAAGACCTGGAAAAATCCAGGTCTCTCTCTCAGCAGCCCTAGAGGTATGATCTGTGGGTGGAGAGATGGATAGATACAGAGAGGGGGGAGGGTAGAAAGATAAATCAATTAGAGAGATAGATGATAAATGATTGATAGATAATAGATAGTTAGAGGTAGAGAGATAGATGATAGATGACAGACAGACAGATAGATGATAGGTAGATGATAAGTAGAAGATAGGTGGATTATATTGTAGATAGATAGATGACAGATAGATATAGATGATTGATAGATCGTTAGGGATACATGATAAATAGATGAGGTAGGTAGATGACAGATGGATAGGTAGATACAGATAGATAGATGGATGGATGGATGGATGATAGGTAGATAGGCAGGCAGATAGATTAATATTAATATCAACTTTACTTTGTAGCCCATAAAAAAATATCTCGGAGGAAATGAACCCCAGTCAGGGCCATAAGACAAAGCTCTTATACCCCCAGAAGAATCTTTCAAAGCAAAGAAAGCCACCTGCTTGCATGTTTGGAAAATCTGTTCAGTTACTTCTAGAAATCATGTTTTCAGAAGGAACTCAGCATTTTCACAGAGAACATCAGTGCAGTCAGAAAAACCACAATTTCGGAGTTACCCCCAGGAAGAAGTCTCAGACCTGCACAAAGTTGGATGAAACCTCTTCTTCTTTTAAGTTAATAGTCAAGACAGAGTCTAGTGGTCTTTTTTGGTATGGTAATAAATTTTTCAGTGGTCCATTTGAGAACGTGGCAATTATGCAATGGGGTGGTTGGTTTGAAACGACGAGAAGAAAGAGGTAGGCAATGGGAAAGCTAAGTATATTATGGGTCTCTGGTTGCTTCCTTTAAGGCATGGGTCTTCCAACTTGGCAAGTTTAAGACTTGTGGACTTCAACTCCCAGAATTCCTGAGCTGACATGATTGGAGGAGGAGGAGGAGGAAATTCTGGGAGTTGAAGTCCACAAGTCTTAAAGCTGTCAGATTTGAAGACCCCTGATTTAAGGGAACTCTAGATGGTAGAATCAGGGGAAGAAGAGCATCTCTGTAGATCAGGATTGAACTGTGGATCCTTGGTGGTCTCTGAGGTTGGCTGGGTTTTTTGGAGGAGGAGGAGGAAGAGGAAGAGGAGGATGACAACAACGATGGGGGGCCCTTGGTACTCTCTGAGCTTGGTTATTTTCTTGCAGACATTTCATTACCCAATTAGATAACATCATCAGTGCTAGAAGGGAGTAGGGTTTGAGGAAGAGGAGGAGGAGGACTGTAGGGTTCTTGGTGCTCTATGACCTTCGTGTTTTTTCCTTGCAGACGTTTCATTACCAAACTAGGTAACCTCATCAGTTGTTGTAAGACCAGTTCCCCATCAGCAGGACAAGCTCCCCATTTTTTTGTCTAGCAAATAGCTCTTGGAAACTCTGTGAAGTAGGTGAGGCAAAGGTGGGCTTGGGATGATCTGAATTTGGACCTTTCTTTTATAGCCCAAACTTAAGTGACAGTATTAATTGCTAACTGCTTCTTTCCCCTTTGTTGCTCGACTGTGAGGGTTCCATTTTGAACCATGCCTGACCTAAATAAGGCAACATCTTCAAAGTGGCAAATATTTGAACAACTTTTCCAATTCTTGGTTTCTTTTTAAGCGTCAAACTATGACTGATTCCCAGAAGTTCCTATTACCTTTTCTGCTGTAATTTTGATTTATGCCATCATTTGCAAGGAACGTAAAAACGGTTCCATCTTCTCCTGGGGAACATGAGCCATAAACATAAACAAAAGGGCTTTACTATTAATGGTAGCATTAATTACTCTGCCATCATGGTACAAGCCAGTGGGAAAAATAAATAAAAATAAAAATAAAAACGCCAGGAAGTAAACTGCACAAGCAGGGAACATATTAACTCAGTTGGAATGGAATAAAATATGTTCTTACTACTGACTCAAACACTATGTTTTAAAAATTAATACATTTTCTTCTTTCCTTTCCTCCCATTTTCCCTGGGTCTCCCTTCCCTCCCTCTCTTCCACCATCTTCATCCCTCCCTCCCTCCCTCCCTTCCTCCCTCCCTTCCTTCCCCACCCATCCATCAATCTGCCATCTATCTTCCTTCCTTTCTTCCTTCATCATCCATCCTCCTTCCTTCCTCCCTTCCTTTCTTCCTTCCCTATCCATCCATCCCCCTGCCATCTTCCTCCCTTCTTTCATCATCCATCTTCCTCCCTCCCTTTCTTCCTTCCCCATCCATCCATCCACCCATCCGTCCCCCTATCATCTATCTTCCTTCTTTCATCATCCATTATCCTCCTTCCTTCCTTCCTTCCTTCCTTCCTTTTTTTTTTGCAGATGATGCCAGCTCAGGAAGGGGAAACGTGGGACCTGAAAACCCTAACAGTGAATCCGAAGATCCTTCAGGCAAGCTGTGGGGTAAGGCCAGATCTTATCCCCTTCTATTCCCAACATTCTCCACTGGGACTTCAGTTGTGCTCAAGGGAAGACGCCCCTGGCATTTAGTCCATCTCTTGTGGAGTTCCAAAAAAAGAATGTAACTAAAGGAGGATTTTTGATTGAGAAGTAATCTAATGACATGGAAGATTTTTTTTTTTTAAATAGACATTCTCCTTCTTTCCAATTTATCTTCCTTCATCCCTTCCTTCCTTCCATCCTTCCTTCCTTCTGTTGTTCCTTCCTTACATTCTTCCATTTTTCCTTCCTTCCTTCCTTCTGTCGTTCCTTCCTTCTTTCCATTCTACCTTCCTTCTTTCCTTCCTTTCTTCCATCCCTCCTTCCTTCTGTTGTTCCTTCCTTACATTCTTCCATTTTTCCTCCCTCCCTTCCTTCTGTCGTTCCTTCCTTCTTTCCATTCTACTTTCCTTCCTTCCATCCTTCCTTCCTTCTGTTGTTCTTTCCTTCCATTCTTCCTCTTTCTTTCTTTCTTTCTTTCTTTCTTTCTTTCTTTCTTTCTTTCTTTCTTTCTTTCTTTCTTTCTTTCCTTCCTTCCTTCCTTCCTTCCTTCCTTCCTTCCTTCCTTCCTTCCTTCTTTCCTTTCCTTTCCTTTCCTTTCCTTTTCTTTCTCCCTCTTTCTTTCCCTCCCTCCCTCCCTGTCTCTCTCTCTCTGCCTGCCTCCCTCCCTCCCTCTCCTGTAATTGTCTTTCTCTTCCTTTCTTACCTTCCTTTTCCCCCCCTTTCGAAAGAGAGACATTTCACAACTGTTTAACTGGAGATCTGGTTTCAGTGTATCACACCAAAGAACAGAGAGCAGCTTTCAAGGGGAAAGTAAATCACTTAACCCATTTCAGAGGGAGAAAGAAAGGAAAGGAGGCAGCTATAGAGATATAGTCTTACCTCCTGGTTTTTAAAAGACTGTGTGTGTGTGTGTGAGAGAGAGAGAGAGAGAGAGAGAGAGACAATGACTAAACTAAAGGCTTGAGACAGGGATGAAGAGGGAGGGAGTTCAGAGGCCGCTGTTGAAGTCTGATTGTTCTCCCAGGAGCAGGAAAAGCAGGTCTTCTATTCTTAGGGAGCAAACGGAAACCTGAGAATTTTCCTATCCATTCAGAAGAAGGACGCCCAGAGGTGCTTTTTTCAAGAAGCAAGTGGACTTTCTTGGCTTTTCTTTGAAGGCGTTTCCTTTCTCTTCCAAGAAGCTTCAGAGTTGAAGAAGCTTCTTGAAGAAGAAGAAGGAGAAGAAGAAGAAGTGAAAAGTCTTCAAAGAAAAACCAAGAAAGTCCCGTTGCCTCTTGAGAAAGCCCCTTTGGGACAACCATGACCCGGAGGGCTGAGACGCGCCATAGACGTTGTCCCTGGAAAGTCTACCACGCGGTCCTTTCAGCAGTTCCAAGAAGGCATTTGCGCGACTCAGGGGACCCCGAGGACACAGAGGCAAAGCTCCAAGTGGCCTCAAGGACTCTCAAAAAGAATGCAAATGAAGGGAAACGTCTTCAAAAGAAGAAACAAGAAAGTCCAGTTGCCTCTTGAAAAAAAAAAAGCACCTTTGGGACAACTATGAGCTGGATGATGGAGAATCTCCACGGACATTCAGAGTTTGTTTGCTTCTGTTTCAGCCTCCCAGAAGATCTGGGGGGGGGGGGCAGGCCTAGATGAATGACAAGCTTCATTCACTCTCAGATAGGGCTCTGATGTAGTATACCGAGAGTTTTCTCACTGGCTTTCAAAATTTGCAAGCCCCTGAGATATTGGAAGACTGCTATCATGTCCCCCCCAGTTCTTCTCTTCCTTAGACTAAACATACCCAGTTCCTGCAACTGTTCTTGATATGTTTTATTCCCCCAGTCCCCTAATCATCTTGGTTGTTCTTCTTGGCATTCTTTCTAGAGTCTCAACATCTTTTGGGTATCATGGAAATCAAAGTGTGGTCTTACCAAGGCCTTAAAAAGTGGTATTAACACTCCGTGTGATCCCAATGGAGCATATTTTTAGCTTAGGGTTGCTCTGGGGCCTCTCTAAGCAACATCATCAGTACTAAAAGGGTTTATTCTCTTTTTATATACAAGTGGCTTGCTTGGTCAGTCTGTTAAAAGGAGAATCAGACCCACAGCCTTCTAGCATTGGTGATGTTACCTAGCTGGGTGATGAAATGTCTGTAAGAACACAACCAAGTTCCAGAGACCACCGAGGACTTCTGATTGCTCCTGTCTCCCCCATCAGTCTTAAACTGTAGTCTTCTAATAAGATGGTAGTTTTAATTGGCCAACTTGCTTAATATGCTCCTTCATGGATTACTGTCTCGTCGTGGCTCCAAGATCACCGCAGATGGGGGACTGCAGCCAGGAAATCAAAAGACGCTTGCTCCTGGGGAGGAAAACTATGGCAACTCTAGACAGCCTACTCAAAAGCAGAGACATCCCCCTGCCAACAAAAGTGCATGGAGTCAAGGCTCTGGTGTTCCCAGTTGGAATATATGGCTGTGAATGTTGGACCATAAGGAAGGTGCAGCGCCAAAGAATGGAGGCCTTTGAACTCTGGAGCTGGAGGAGACTCCTGTGAGTCCCTTGGACTGCAAGGCCATCCAACCGGTCCATCCTAGAGGAGATCAACCCTGCTTGCTCCTTAGAAGGGCAGATCCTAAAGAGGAAACTCAAAGACTTTGGCCACCTCATGAGAAGGAAGGACTCCCTGGAGAAGAGCCTAAGGCTAGGAATGATGGAGGGCCAGAGAAGAAGAAGGGGACGACAGAGAAGGAGGGAGCTGGATGGAGTCCCTGAAGCAGTCGGCGTGAGCTTTAATGGACTCCAGAGATGGTAGAGGACAGGAAGGCCTGGAGGAACGTTGTCCATGGGGTCACAATGGGTCAGACACGACTTTGCAACCAACAACCACAACAACTTAATATGGGCTGTATTTTTACTGTCATTTTTGTAAGCCAGATTCACGGAACCACCGTGTTGCCAACCTGACAGCTGCGGCGAGAAAGATTGTAAAACAGGCCAAAATTCATGGGATCCCCGTCTCACTTAGCAGCAGAAATTGTGCTTACGACAGACCACCTTGGAGTGCTGCGTTTCTGCTGCCTCCCCTGTCAAGATCATTGGGGGGGTGGGGGAAGACCCCCACACACATTTGCACACCCATCTTTCCCGAAAGAGCTAGGGTGTCACACTTGTCACTCCAGCTGTCCGCTCGGTCCTTCATTAGGTTACACATGAAAGCCGCGGAGCGAAGCCTTTCGGCACAAAGCAAGAAGAAGAGATTGAAATCAAATCTCCCGAGGTGGCCCAGACCCAGAAAATGGAGATTGGGTGGAGATATGAGGTATTTGTTCTTCCTGGGGCTCAAAGCATTTTTTGGGGGCTAGTGCAAAGGAGACGTGGAGCTGGATTCCCCCCCCCCCTTGAAATGCATTTGAAGTATGAAGTTGGCCGTGTGTGTGCGTGTGTGTGTGTGTGTGTATGAGAGAGAGAGAGAAGGGAGGGGTGAGCTGATCGGGAAGGGAACGGGGTGAAAACCAAGAATGAAAGCCTCTGCTTTGATACCGTCCCACCGAGCCAGAGGTGAGTGTATCGATCAATCAGAATAGAGCTGGAAGGGACTTCGGAGGTCTTCTAGTCCAACCCCTTGCTCAAATAGGAAACTCTATACAATTCCAGACAAATGACTGTCCAGTCTCTTCTTAAAAGCCTCCAGGGATGAAGCTCCCACAACTTCTGAAGGCAACTTCTGTTCCACCGGTTAATTGTCCTCACTGTTAGGAGGTTTGATGGATGGAAACTGAACAAGGAGAGATTCAACCTGGAAATAAGGAGAAACTTTCTGACAGGGAGAACAATCAATCCAAGGAACAGGAGTTGCCTTCGGAAGTTGTGGGAGCATCATCACTGGAGGCTTTCAGGAAGAGACTGGACTGCCATCTGTCAGAAATGGTGTAGGGTCTCCTGCTTGGGCAGGGGGTTGGACTAGATGGCCTACAAGATCCCTTCCAACTCTGATTATCTGTTATCTGCTTCTCCTTAATTCCAGGTTGCTTCTCTCCTTGGTTAGTTCCATTGTTTCTTGTCTTCAGGTGCTTTGGAGAATAGCTTGACTCCCTCTTCTTCATGGCAGCCCCTGGAATAAATTATAAGTTTCATTTATAACAGAATAACAGTTGGAAGGGACCTCGGAGGTCTGCTAGTCCAGCCCCCTGCTCAAGCAGGAGACCCTATATAATTTGAGACAAGTGGCTGTCCAATCTCTTCTGAATTTCTCCGATCTGGCCCATTGGAGCTGTCAGGCAGCGGTGCTGAGACGAAGCTGCTTCTCTTCAGCCCGATGAAAAGCATTTATCAGCATATAGTTGACACCTTAACTCCAGCCTATCCGGCCATCTCTCTCTTCAAGGCACCCCTTCCAAACTCACAATCTAAAATAATCCTCCATCATCACAAACCCTGGTGCCACTTAGGGAAAAATAGATTCTACAAGTGCCACAGTCAGATAATGTTAGCCTGCCACGCTAAATAGACGATGATAGGTTTAATCGAGCCAACACAAATGGCGTTTCCTTTGTTTTCCTCAAGATAATCCACGCCATCTCAACCCTGTAATAACCAGACTAGAATCCTGACAGAACGAGATCAGAAAAGTTGCTTGGAAGGCTAGTAAGGTGGGCTTATCATTAAATGACTGAAACAGTCACTCCAACAGATGCTGGGGAATTGAAAGTAGCAGAACATTAAACCAACATAGGCTTATCTTCGTCCTCTGCATTGAAGAGAAGTTATTCTTTTCCTCCAGGATACAAAGATTGTAATAGAATAACTGAGTTGGAAGGGACCTTGGAGGTCTTCTAGACCAGGGATCTCCAACCTTTTGGTCCTCAGGGACCACCCAACTCATCGTTTTAAATCCCACAGACTAGAAACCCTGGGAAAATCCCCAAAAAAAGTCTGCAGGAAAATTCCCCACCTTATTTTCCTACCGATCAGTCGTTCTTTATTCTGGATGGCAGGATACCGTCTCCAGCTCCATTCTCAGGGGGAGAGAGAGAGGAGAGACTTTTGGCTTTGTGCAAGGAAAGCAGCATGAGCAGCAGAAGTCTTTCTTTCTATCCCCCCAAATTTGCCCAGAAATGAGTCTTTTCCAGTGTAGCCTCTTGGCACAGGAGGCCTTGTAGGGTCCCAGAGGCTCATTTCTGGTGGAGTTTGGGGGAGAGAAAGAAAGACTGGCTGCTTTCCTTGTGTGCAGCCAAAAGCAGAAGAAAGAAACGGAAAGAAGCAGCCCGGTGGACAGGACAGGCATGTGGGGCGAGTGGGGCAAGTTCCCCCCTCCGTCCTTTCCCCCCTCCCCTCACTACCTCATGTTGTTCGCAATGCAAGCCTTGTGTTCTCACAGGCCATGTGGGCATCGCAGCCTTGTGTTCCTGTGCAGCCTGGATTAATTGCTTTGGGGGTGACATTTCTCTGCGGACCACCCAAATTTTCTCATGGACCACCAGTGGTCCCTGGCCCACTGGTTGGCGACCACTGTTCTAGTCCACCCTCCTATGCTTTGCTTCTCTTTATCCTCTAATAATAATTCTGTTATTACTCTTGATAGCTCGACCAAGATTCACCCAGCCTGCCAAGATGAGACAACGGGTAATTGCCCGTCCGGTGGGAAGTTCCATTCGACTAAAATGTGTGGCCAGCGGCAACCCCCGTCCGGACATCAGCTGGCTAAAAGACAACAAGCCCCTCACATCGCAGGAGATTGGTGAGAGCAAGAGGAAGAGATGGACGCTAAATTTAAAGAACCTGAAGCCGGAGGACAGTGGGAAATACACCTGCCGTGTTTTTAACAGGATGGGCGAGATCAACGCCACTTACAAAGTTGAAGTGATCCGTAAGTATTGACTGACAGTTGCGCATGACAGATGTTGTGGCCTGTTGGCTGCTGGCCCTTCCAGCAGCCAAATCAGAGGAGGAGGAGACATGGGAGTCAGGCTCAGCATCAGGGCAACCTGAGAGCTCCGTGGTGGAAGAGGGAATGGAACTGTGTGTGTGTGTGTGTGAGAGAGAGAGAGAGAGAGAGAGAGAGAAGGAAGGGGAGGGTGAAGCCTGGGCCATCAGTCAGCCCTCAGATGGAGAGTCAACGGCCCCCAGGTCTGGAGGTGGCTGCTGAGGAAGAGGAGGAACAGCTAGGCCCAGATGCGCAGATAAGGCAGAGGAGAGGAGAGCAGTGGAAATCTATGGGCCGGTCCTTGGGACAGAAGAGCCACCGCTGCTAGTGAAGCCCCACCCGAGCTCTGGGGATAAAAGGCAGGGGGTGGAGAGGAATAAGTATGGCGGCAGCAGTGGGATCCTACCCATTGCACTTCTAGTTCGTTGATCAGGTGCGCAGCTTTCCACACACCAGCTGAAGCCTGTAGTGCCGATCAGCTGGGAGGATAAAGAAGAAGAAAGTGCAGGGGCGATCCTGCACCGTTCTGTTGTTTCTCCTCCCCGCTGATCTTTTTCCCCTACTCTCAGCTGATCCTCAGAGGGTTGTTGTTGTTTTTTTTTACTGTCGGTTTGTCCAAACCGGTTTGAACCAGTAGCATACCACTACTGTGTGTCAGATGACTATTCATCTCCCCTGCTGGACAGACTTGTTAGCCTGTGGTGAGAGGGACATTTTTTTGCCGGGGCTGCTGGCGCTCCTAATAAAGGGATCATTGCTTCAACTACAGAGGGTTTGTCCTCTTTGACCAGCTGGGTCAGAACAACAGATTGTCACTCAACAGGTTGACCAAACCCCTGAACATGTTAGTCCAGCATCAAGGGAAGAGGAGCTCCTCCGGAGAGAACAAGATGAGGGATCAGATGTCATCCTGAACCCAAAGATTTCAAACTCAGCCCAATTCCTGACATCTAAAGAGCATAGTGGAGTTTTCAAGCTATAACAAAATGGACCTGCTTTGTAGATATGACTGTCTTTGGGCTGCGATATATCACATAGAATTAGAATTAGAATTCTTTTTTACTGGCCAAGTGTGATTGGACACACAAGGAATTTATCTTGGTGCAAATGCTCTCAGTGTACATAAAAGAAAAGACATTCGTC